GAAAGGACCAGTGAATTACCAGACTGCCCCCTCCCTGCCATCTTATTAACGGACCGGGCTACACAATGTGAACGCCCTCCCCCAAATTTCTCCGCTCTTCTGTCGCCGCCTTCGGAGCTCGCGTGCTTCGCCTCGGTGTTCTCGCCGGTTAGCCGACGATAAATCGCGCCTCTCCTCGCTCTTCCTCGCTGCAGCAGCAGTAATAATGATTTCATCTAGATTTAGAAATATGCCTGCTTTCACAATTCCATTTGGATGTGCTTGAGTGTTGTTTAGCGCCTTTCCTCTTTTGCTATAGTTCGAGATTAGCGTGTTGCCTTCAGTTCCTGAAATTTGCGCTGTTTTATTTCGCTGGAAAATTTCGCGTTCTTGAGAAAAAAAAAAGAAAAAGCCCTAAATAATGCTCTTCTTTTCAGGGATGGCTGCCGACTGGTCCAATCTGCCGCGTGATGCTTGGATGCATATCGCTCAAAAGTTCGTCTTTCGTGACCTCGGCGTATTTGCGTCTGTCTGTGCCCAGTGGCGAGACGTCGCAAGGGAAGTCCGCGGGTCTTTTCGCTCTCGGCCCCCGCTCCTCATGCTCCCTCTCAGGGAAGGAACCCACGTCAGAGGTCTCTACGATCTCTCCGCAGATTCAGTATGCGGCATTAACCTCCCCCAACTCAACGATCGCTGGATCTGCGGAGCTTCCAATGGTTGGCTGGTAACGTGCGGCATTAACCTCCCCCAACTCAACGATCGCTGGATCTGCGGAGCTTCCAATGGTTGGCTGGTAACGCTGGATGCTAACCTGAACATTGAGCTGTTTAATCCTTTCTCAAAAGCGAAACTGCAGCTCCCGCCTCACCCGATCATGGTTGACTACCAGCATCGGATATACCGAAAATACCGGTCATGCTACATGCAAAAAGTCATTCTGACGGGCAGCCCCGGTTCGAACCGAGCGTGTTTTGCCGCTTCGATCGTGTCGAACCGGAGGAGGTTAGCCGTTTGCGGGGTCGGAGATGGCGAATGGACCGACGTGGAGACGGAACCGAACCGGTACGTCGACATTACGTGTTACAAAGGAAAGCTATTCGCGATACGGGAGTGCGGCCCGCTGGTGGTTCTTGATGTCGGTCGAGACTACTTTAAGACCGACACGATCGATGCTCCTCCCGATGGCGGCCCCCTTACAACAGGCGGCTTGGCGGGGAATGGTTCTGTCTGCCAAAAATATTTGGTGGAATCAGCAGGTGACTTGTTAGTGGTGCTGAGATTTTCACGCTACTCGGCTAATGGCTATAGAACGTGGAAGTTCCATGTTTACAAGCTGAATGAAAGCGTGCAGGGTTGGACTAATTGAGAGTTTGACTACTTTAAGACCGACACGATCGATGCTCCTCCCGATGGCGGCCCCCTTACAACAGGCGGCTTGGCGGGGAATGGTTCTGTCTGCCAAAAATATTTGGTGGAATCAGCAGGTGACTTGTTAGTGGTGCTGAGATTTTCACGCTACTCGGCTAATGGCTATAGAACGTGGAAGTTCCATGTTTACAAGCTGAATGAAAGCGTGCAGGGTTGGACTAAGGTTGAGAGTTTGGGAGATCGGTCGATATTTGTTGGAGTCAGTCACTCCATCTCGGCTAAAGTTTGCGGGCTCGATGGTTGCAAGTCGAATTGCATTTATTTCTTGGAGGATCTCACTCTTCATCGCGATGAGAAGGGTTTTCAGCTTGATTGTGGTTTGTTCTGCTTAGAAGATGGATGCACCAAGACATTGCCGGAGGAGGCCCGGTCGTTTTGGTCCAAACCCGGATTTTGGTGTATGCAGTCTTTGTAGAGGGAATTTCTTACATGTTTGTTTTAGGATAATTTTATGTGTGTTTTACTTAGTTTATTAGATGAAAGAATTCCACACGTTTGAACTTAGGTGCTGGTGAAATGGGGGAGAACATCCTAGGTGAGCTGGAGTTTCGGACGAAGTCGGATGGAATAGCTTTCTTATTAGTGAGTCATCACTTGAACATTAAGCTATATAATTGCTCGGTAATTTGATTGTTATGTTTACATACATGTTTATATTGTATAGTTCCTTTTTCATTGGGCCTGCTAGCGTATATGCCCGCATTAAAATCGGTGAAACCTCATATAAGCTTTCAAATTCTACTAGAGGCATGTTAAGTTGTTTTCCAAGAAATGAAAGATAACCTTTTGATTATAGTTAATTAATATTTGAATGTTACGTAACCATATGTACTTGTTGATATGGTTTGCGTTCATTTCACTGATTTCGGTTTTTTGTTAGCTGTGACAATGGTGTTACTTCAAACAAGCTCCACATTTCATTGTTTGGGGGAAAAAGTTAAGTAGACAAAATGGACAAATAATGATACTTCATTAGAAATTAATAGGCAATGATCTCAGGTGTGGGCAGATTTTTGTGAAATAGTATTAATTCGGTCCAAAACCAAAACCGATCCGAACCGATCCGAATTCCGGTTGGGCCGAATATTCGGATGAAGGGGAAAAAATCTGGATCTGGATGAGAGTTTTGAGAATTCGAAAAATTCGGATTGGATGCGGATTGAGCTTAAAACCGATCCGAACCGAATATGCCCAGCCCTATATAGGACTGAGAGGTATCTCACTGTAAATCTTGCTTTCAGGCAAATGAGAAAGCTAAGTTGCGCCCTGTTTCTAACATGAGTCTAATGGGAGTTATATGGTTCAAGAGAGAGAGCCTCACTGAGAGCAACAAGTTTCATGTTCTGATTTGGTTTTGAGTTTGGTATAAATTAAACACGATTTAGGATTTATGGAGAGCAGTATTGGGAATATTTTGAGCACATGAAAAGAGAATTTTCTGGAGCTATTGGTTAGGGTTTTGTTTGAGAGATTGAGAGCTTTGTGTGAGAGATTAGTTTGTGGATTTGTAACCTCTATTTGTACTTTTATTCTCTATTAGTGAAAACTCATCCCCTTCTTGCCCCGTGGACGTAGGCAACTTGCCGAATCACGTAAAATTTGTTGTTTGTGTTTGTGCCTGTTTTCAGCGAAAGTTGACTCCATTGTCGATTCCATTAAACCTTAATTTGTTTACACGAAATTACAATGAAAATAAACAAAAATACAACTCTCGAGAAAATAACACAGAAATTGTTTATCAACTCCTGCTTTGTGGGACTTTGCCTATGCCGTGAGTGCTTTGGCTCGTTGACCACCGATTCAAAGATCGTGAGGGTGTTTAGGGATCTCTCCTTCGTTTATCGAAGTAAAGATTTGAAAACGAATATCTTATCGATGTAAGATGTCCGTTCTTCCAAAGATCAAGTCTGAGCTTAGATCTCTAGGAATCACCGAATGATGCTTGTCAAAGGGTGAAAGATCTCTCTCTTCTTCAAAAATCACTGAAAGCTCAAGTCTCTTCTGCTCCAAAATGCTCTCTGTCCTTTATTTCGTGTGTAGGGAGGTATTTATAGGGTCTCAGTGCACCACAATTGAAACGGGGGCAAAATAACTGACCGAGTGTTTTCTCTTTGGCCGCTGCAGTCTACACTGCCGCGGCTATTGGCGCGGCAGTATAGGCTGCCGCGGCCAAAGAGACGGTTATCAGCACGTTCCATCGTGCTTAAAACCGTTCTCCCACGACCTTTAACCACTTTTTTCGTGGTTTAACTGCTTGTCCACGTCAGCACACGTTCTGTTTCTGGTATGCTGCCACGTGGGCCTCAAAAATCATCATATAACTGTTTCGTAACTGCTGCAACACTCCTTTAACATAGCCGCGGCACCCTAGATTGCAGCGCCCAAGCCGCGACACGACAAGCTGTCGCGCT